AAGAAAACCAAATATAATTTCGCGCGTAACTACGTGAGTAATCATTGAAATAACAAGGTTGCTTTTTATTGGCATACAAATAAGTAAGTAAGGTTGCTTTTTATTGGCTTTTATGATGGAACTTTTGCCCTGGTGGCGTTAATACTTAAGTACCGAATAACCTTAAGAAATACTTAACCAAACAATAACAATTCTTTGTTATTTTTTTACTGTACTTTTACAAAACATATGTAACGACACTATTATACATTTCACTTGCAAAACACAGGTAATGTGTCGGTTACGAAACCGATTTATAAGGGCACACAAAAAAATGGTTTTTCTTTTACAAACAAAAATATTTTTTCTTTCGGTAATATACATATGTTTTTCTAGTATGGCCCTTTCCACTATACAATATCCAAATTGTTTTTAAACATACGTGATAGCATAATTCGGTAAATTGCATTATCTAAGTCATTACCAAAAAAAAAATTTTGCAATTGCGAAGTAACCGGCGATAAATGAGCTGATCTACACTTTTCCTTCCGCATTTATTCTTTTCGTCTTCATATGCACTAAAATACGCAACAATGGTTATTTGTTATTTTTATTGTTATTCTTTTACTTTTTTAAGAGTTATATATAAGCTTTAATTTTAATAAAGAAACCAATCATTTGGCAATGAACAGAACAACTGCATATATTTGCTTAATTAAACTGATTGTTGCTGGGATACTTACATGTAACATTGCAGTTTTCAAATCTTACCCTTGCCTAAGCGGGATGCTACTATTACTACACTAACTAAAGATAAAATCAATGCCTATACCCTATATTTGTCAATTATCTTGTCGTCCGTTCTTTTCTGTGTTTTCTAACAGGACGACACTGTAGTAACGTTTTTTTTTTTTTTTTTAAATACAAAGCATTCGCGGGATAATCAATATATTTATCATTCTTTTACAACGTTTTCCGTTAGTCACACTGGACAGTAGTAATCTCAGTCATTCGTTCCACGACTTCACATTTTGTACTCTTCTTATCTTCTGTGTAACTGCACCAAACCATAAAAGAAATTCTTTTCTCTCCTTTTTTTATAAAACAGGATGGTGTAACGACGGCTCCTCAGAGCTCTGTCCAAATATTGGCCACGGACTTTATTATTTGCAGGGCCACACTTACGTGCCGTTTGAAGAGGCGCGGAGGTCATATTCAGGGGTCCACGTGTCATTGCTGAGCTAGCTAGTTCGGGAGAGATTGGGCACTTTTAAATTTTTGTCTCACGGACACGCCACAGACGCTTCAGACATCTAAAGAAAGTGGGATGTTTCACCCTTATAGGAATAAATGTACGGACGGAACCTACTTAGCAAACGGGCAGATCGTTAGCCATTGTCTATCCTACTTTACTTATGGACTCTTTGAACCCCGATGTTGGGTCCGATAATCGCTCTATTCTACCTTCCACTCATAATAAAACTAAAACTTTAAAATAAATGTGCACATATATTTTCGGTTTTGATAATACACAAGAAAGTGTTAACGTGTGTTTATTAACTAGAGGGAGCGTATTAGCTGAGTTGCACTTGCACATATATATTTATTTATATATTAACCAAAACTAGCCACATGCTAGCATGAGATATATCAAAAAATAAATACAATAAAAAAAACATAGCAGTGATGTTCAGACGTAATCGTGAATGGCAATACCATTTTGGTTTTTTTTTTTTTTGCCTTTCTTGCTTTATTACACATATGCCTTTTCAATAAAATATATTATTATTATTGTCTTTTGCTTTGTCTTTTAAAGAAGTCTTTTCTTGTGCTCCTGCTTTATCATCTTAAAGGGAAAAAGTTTTGGTTAAAATATCATAATTTAAAATACTATACTCGCTTTCTCATAAGCAAGCAACTTGCAACACTACATTTTGGAGGCCCCGGCGAGATAAGTATCTTAAACAATTTGCATAATAATTACGTCAATTAACCACGTGCCTTTTCATGGATGATCAAACGGAATTAAAAACTGGAGTTGATGCCGTGCAATGCTCCACCAAAAAACTTGATAAAGCGCTATTAGCTTTAAAGGTCCGTCGTACGGTGACCGAACAGCAAATTGACCGTGTCAATGATTTTGTAAAACGTATACAAGAAGATTCAAGTGGCGTTTCTTTAGATGAATAAAATACAAGACTCAAAGCTTTAGACAGTGCTTTCGATGCTTTCAACAAAGTACAAACAAAAATTAAAGAAAAGGATTTTGATGAAATCTCTCAACCAAATAGATCAAAATGTGAAGAATTATATAGCAACAACGTTGAAAGTGTGCACATCAAGACCCAACAATTCAGATTCGAACCAAACAATTCATGTTTCCCATGCGATATTATCTGATGAAAAATACGACACTGTAAAACTGCCAAAAATGATGTTACTACATGGATAGCTTGGTTCGATGAATTTACATCATTGGTGCACAACAATGAAAGGCTTAACACCTTTACTAAATTGCATCATTTGGTATCTAAATTGAGTCCGGCCGCAAAGGCTCCTATAACTGGCATAAAAATCATTGCTGAAAATTATGAAATAATATTACAAAGGTTGAAAGACAACAAGAAAATTATTGGGAAGCAGCATATCAAACAAATTTTTCAGCATCCTAAGATCATTCATGCGAATGCAGCTAATTTACGAGAATTAATCGATACCATGAACAATCACCTTATAGGTTTGAAAAATATTAATCGTACAGTTGAATCATGGGACGATCTTATGGTATACATCATAACATCTAAGGTTGGTCCCGATACATTGAATAAGTGGAATGAAAAGGCGCCAGTTGATCGTTTACCAACACTCTCTGAATTATAAAATTTTTTAAAAGGACGTTGTCAAATTCTTGAGAGTAATTTAAGTTCTGTTTCTTTACCCGGTGGTGCTCCCACTAGCCGTGCTATAGAGCCAAAAAGGGTTCAAAGAACAGCAAAGTCTTTTGTTACCATTAAAAATTGCTGCAGCTTTTGTCAAAAACCGGGTCAAGTTATATATCGCTTTTCTGATTTTTTAAGCTTATCTACTGCTGACAGATTGAACAAAGTACGTGCACTTAAACTTTGTGTCAATTGTCTTAAATTCAAAAATCATAATTTATCTGATTGCACCTCTAAAGGTCGTTGTCACACATGTGGCAGAGGCCATCATTCACTATTACATTTTGAACGCCCGCAAGTGGCAAATTACACTGCTTCAAAACATAATCAAATCAATGAAACAAGTCATATCGAACCTGCAGAAAATGCAAATCATAACATGAGTGATCAAGCACAACCTAAAAATGTTGCTGCTTTGAAAAAACAACACACAGAACGAAATACACTAACTACAACAATTGTTTATATTATATCGAAATACAACCAACGCTTTCCTTGTCGTGTTCTATTGGTTGGTGGTTCACAAATTAATATGATTTCTGAACGCATGGTTCATATGACCGGTCTAAAGCGTCAATACGCTCCAATTCAATTTCAATGTGCAAATAAAACTGTGGAAACATCAAACTTTAAATGTATCACAAATATTGAATCGCTACTTAAACCATTCTCGATTACTCTTGGAGCTCACATAGTTGACCAAATAAGCGGTACCCTTCCTGATGCTGAAATTGATATTTCAAACTGGAACATACCAGAACATTAGCAGATGAACGGTTTAATATACCACAACGAGCCGACATGTTATTGGGTGGTGACATATTTTTTGATATTTTGGAGAATGGTAAAATTGCCTTAGGACGCAATCGTCCCAATATTAACCAATACACGTTTAGGCTGGATTGTCGCGGGCACACTTCCACACCATGCAAATTCAATTGCAAATGTCAAGTGCAACTCATTACAAATATCTAACGTTCAACAAAATGATCACCTGTCTGATGCTATTAAAGCATTTTGGGAAATTGAAAGTTTTAAGGAATGCTCGCCAAAATTATGACAAGAAGAAGAGCAGTGTGAGTTACATTTTCAAAATAATTTTACAAGGTTGCCAGACGGACGATTTGGTGTAAAGTTGCCTTTCAAATCATCAACATCTTTGTTGGGTAACTCTTACGCCATTGCTTTTAAACGCTTTCTGGCACTTGAGCGAAAGTTTGGAACAAATTAACAATTACGTAGTGATTATACTAAATTTATAAATAAATATATTCAACTTTCACATATGGAAATTGTACAATCATTTGATTTTTCACAACCACATTACATGTTACCGCACCACTGCGTACATAAACTTTCGAGTTCCAAAACAAAGTTACGCGTCGTATTTGATGCGTCATCAACAACCACATCTGGTAAATCTTTGAACGAGCTTCTTATGGTTGGGCCACTAACCTGATTTATTTCCGGTAGCTTTATGGTTTCGATCTTACACTTCTGTATTCACAGCTGATATAACTAAAATGTATCGTCAAATTGCTCTCGATCCCGATGACTGGCGATAATATTTTGTGTTATGGCGTTCACAAGGCGATCAACCAGTACAGCTATACCAACTAACTACAGTTACATATGGAACTGCATCTGCATCATTTTTAGCCACGCGCGCATTAAAACAATTAGGTATTGATGAACTACATAATTTTCCGTTAGCTGCTAATGCTACAGACACATATTTTTATGTAGATGATCTCCTAACGGGTTGTAACACACTTCATGAAGCCATGCAATTACAAGCACAATTAATTTCTATTTTATCTAAAGGAGGTTTCAGCCTAAACAAATGGTGTGCAAATCATCAAGATTTGATTAAACACATTCCTAAAGAAAATCGTGAAACTTTATTCACCATTAAAAATTTAAATCCGATCAAAACTCTTGGAATTGTTTGGGATCCTGCAAAGGATAAATTTCTTTACAAGATTGATATAAAATTCAACGAAAATTATACTAAAAGAACAATTTTATCTAAAATTTTACAATTTTTTTGATCCGATAGGCCTAATATCGCCACTCATAAAAATGGCTAAAATTTTCATTCAACAATTGTGGCGGTTAGATTTGGATTGGGATGACGAATTGCCTATTAAATACCAGATGGCGTGGTCAAATTTTAGACGGCAATTATGTAATTTAATCGATTTAGAAGTGGATCGCTTAGCAATCACTCCTGATGCAAAATATGAAATTCATGTGTTCTCTGACAGTTCAGCAAGCACATATAGTGCATGTGTATACATCAGATGTATAAATAACGAGACGAAGATAACTTCAAATTTGCTTTGTGCCAAATTAAAGATGGCACCTATCAAGAAATGTAGTTTGCCAAGATTAGAAGTCTGCGCTGCTGTAACAATGGTACAACTCGTTAAGAAAGTTCAAGAAGTCTACGATTTTATACAATTTAGCAACATTTGCTTCTGGATCGACTCAACCATAGTGTTGAGTTGGATATCAGAAGACTCATGCAATTGGAGTACCTTTATTGCTAATAGGGTGGCAATCATTCTACAAGTTTCAACACGCTCGCAATGGAGACATATTCCATCCAATTTAAACCCAGCTGATATATTATCTCGTGTTGTGTTACCAGCTGAATTAATGCATTCAACATTTTGGTTTCCCGGGCCAAATTTTTTAACATTAGCCTCGTCTATTTGGCCACAATTTCCACACAATTTAATATACGATGATAACAGATTAGAAAGAAAACCTATAAAGATGATATTAACAACAACAATTTCACAACAACATGATTTAATCATTAGTATTAAATTTCACAACGATTATGTACGTTTGCTTAACACAGTCGCTTACATGCTGCGTTTTATATATAATTGTGAATTTAAGGCTAAAAGAAAATACGGTTCATTGGATGCTACAGAACTTGACGCATCTCGTCTAAACATTATCAAATACATACAAGTCATTTCTTTTCATGCTGAAATGGCAGCTGTACAAAAGGGTGCTAACCTTAATGCCAAAAGTCATATACAGTCTTTATCACCATTCTTTGATAATAACGGTTTACTAAGAGTGGGTGGCCGATTAAGAAACTGTAACCTGGACTTCAACAGTAAACATCCTATACTATTACCAAAAAATCACGCTTTTAAGTACACACTGGCACGCTACTATCATAAAATTAATCATCATGTTGGCCCACAAACATTACTAAGCGTAATACGTCAATCTTATTGGCCAATCCACGGCAAGGTTATCTGTCGATCTATATGTCGAAGTTGTGTCTTATGCTTTCATACTAATCCAATTAAACAGAACCATTTTATGGTCGATTTACCTGATTTACGAGTTCAACAATCAAGACCGTTTAATGTAATAGGTGTCGATTTTTGTGGTCCATTTCAAATATATTATGGCAGACGTGGTATTATTTCTACAAAAGGCTATATATCTGTTTTCATAGGGTTTTGTACAAAGGCCATACATTTAGAGTTGGTAGAAGATTTATCTGCTCAAGCTTTCTTAGCTGCTTTAAGGCGTTTCATTGGGCGACGTGGCCTATGCTTAGTGATTTACAGTGACAATGCAACTAATTTTATTGGTGCAAAAAACGAGTTGCATGAGCTTTACAAAATGTTTAAAAGTACAGATATTATATTTAATGAATGTGCTTCGCGTAGCATAATTTGGAAAACCATACCTCAGTGCTCTCCGCATTTTGGTGGCCTTTGGGAAGCTACAGTGAAGTCCACTAAATTTCATCTAAAAAGGATACTACAGGATGCGAAATTTAACTTTTTTGAATTCAACACTTGGTCTCTTCTTAAAGGGAAAAGGTTTTGGTTAAAATATCATAATTTAAAATACTATACTCGCGTTCCCATAAGCAAGCAACTTGCAACACTACAAGTGGTGTGCCGCGAAATATAATGTTGAAGTTTAATGCTATGGACTGATGAAGATGTTGTATATAACTGTAGATGTCAGGTTGCTGTATATAGCTGAAAATGGCACGATGATAAAATGTTGTATATATTTGTCACGATGAGAAATGAGACGCCTTGAAACCAATTGGTTTATTCAAGAGTCTATTATGTTATAACATGAGGATTGATTTACCAATTATAATCGTTGTAGGAAATCTTATTGCAGATAGTGTTAAGATTTTTTTTAAAACACTTGGAATCGTCTTTTAAATCCCGTACTCCCAATATTATCACACAACGCGCTATATATATAAATAAACATTTATTTAAATGTAGGCACGTAATTGGTGAACACTTTACAAGGCTACGAAATGTGTTTGTACAAAAAAAAATGCAATCGACGGCTCGTTTTGCCATTATACACACTTCATTTTGGATAAGTGTGAAGATTAGTGTCAGCGTTCATTTGCATATTTCCTTTTATATTTAACATTTTCAGTATATTTTCATTTTGTACATTAACCTTCTTACGGCAAAAACAAAAAAAAATGTTGTTAATGGTGAAATTCCAGTGTTTCTTTTGTATGGCTTGACTTTTTAGCTATTATTAATTTGCCATCTGGCTTGAATTTGTCTCTTTTATGTTTGTCTACCGTTTTTTTTCTTTTATATGAGACACCTCTAAAATAACTTCATTTTTTTTACCAAGTAATTATGTCAACTAAAAAACTTCAAATTTCCGCATATGTTAAAGAAATTGTAGTACAACTTTTCCTTTTAAAGGCGTTTTAATAAAAAGATGCTAGAAAGAAATGATAAATTGTTTCATTGACGCTTTGGAATTTTTTTAGCATTAGATTCAACGTAATCTGTGCTTTCATTGAAACTATCTCTAATTCCCACCGCTTCAACTCGGAAGGCGATTCAATAGAAAGCACATGAACCATCGGAAAGAATAGCCTACTGCAAGTGTAAGAGAAGCAATGGTTACTTTTGATGAACTCGTGATCCAGCAGGAAGAGCTAGATATCGATCTCCAGAAGGACTAACTGACCTACAAAAAGTCCCCAAAGGATCTAGAATACCTGCAAAAAAAGAAGGAATTCAAGGAGCCGTGGAAATCTTCAATCAACGAAACAACCAAATGCATATGCACCCCCAGTCAAGAAAAAATCATTCCTACTACAAAAGGGACATATTTACGACTATAAGCGACAGATTCTAGAAGTTAATGGAAGATATACAACATAATCTCCAAATGCAAAGGGAACCCAGGTCCGGATAGTCGATGTCAGGAGCTGCTGTCATTAGAATCAAGAGAAGGAGATATAAATCGACCAAATTCTAAATACGCTGGCAGCCATTCAAGGTGATGATTTCGTTCATATTCCATATATATCTTGCAACCAAGACAAAACAGTTAGACGAGAAATGGACCGTGGTTCAATAATTGCGCAAGCAAGCAAATAATTTTTCGCTTGATATCGGATGAACCGGTTATGCCTCAATGAATACTCGGAGCGCGATTATTCGATTGCGACGCAGATAGTGAAATTAAATTAAAGGGCCGCCAAGCAACTTATAACAGCAACGATAACTCCTGCAATAACTCTACAAAATTTGACAGGGATATCATTACCAAACTTTCGCGGCGTCGGCTAGAATAGAACTCTTCCTTGAACTTGCGCACGAACGACCTATCTTTTCCGCAGAGAAAACGTGGTATTTGAAGTCCAATTTGATCGGAGCCGCATCTCTGCCTAATAATCTCAGTCTCACTAAGGACAACTATAACACGGCAAGAAAAGCTCTCCATGCTAGGTGTGATAAAGAAAGTGTGCTGGTGACTGCTGTAATGCAAAGACTACTTAATTAACCGAAATACTCAGACGTAGCATCTGTTGCGGGTTTTAGAAGCATACACGATATGGATAATTTAGAAGTCCAAACCGATGGCTGGGATCCGCTTTTAATCCCAATTTTTCTAAAAAAATTTAACAAAACAACACATTTACTTCAGTGTTTTGAATATTCAAGAGCGTTTCCAATCTTAAAACAATTTTTGGGGTTCGTCGAGGGTCGGTTACGGATTTTGGAAACAGATCGAAGTAAAGAAAAAGAATTCGTAGAAACATTCACTTCGGTGGTAAGTCCATCTCTGCAAGCAATGGAATGAATTATAGATGAGAATTCCCACACTGTACAAAGATAGAAGTAAGTCTTATACTTCTTATTATTAAACACTAGTATAGACTATATAAGCAGATGTAACGAAAAGAAAAAAAAAACACACAAACCGTTAAATAATAATTCATATATAAATTTTAAATAACAGTCTAAATAAGGAATAAAAAAAAGAATGTACACAGCGAGCATACAGGCGCACCCACAGCCAGTACAGATGCAGTTTGCAAATGAACCCATAAACCATTGCACACATGAAAAAGCTTGGCAACCGATAAGAGTAAACATCAGTTAATTTCCGAATCACAGTGAGATATTAATATTGCACATTAGTTCAAATGCGACATGGGCACATTGCGCAAGTTTGTTTTGATACACTTTAAGTAGTCCAATATTGAGATTAAGTGATAGACCTTATTTAGTTTTCTGCACACAATGTGAACGGATTAAACCTCTCATCATTATATTTACATTGACTAAGCTTAATAAAAATAAAGTGCCTAGAGGAGCGATTAAGGACATTAAAGCTTACCTCACCAAGCAATGTGCCAATCGATAGTACCATTAATTAACTTGATTAAAAAGGAATTACCAAGAGTAAATCTACGTTTCTCAAGTGACGGTCAGGATAACAGAAGCAACCTACTTCCATAAGGCGGCAGAGAGACAAGTGAATCCCACCCCGAATTTTTAAGGGCAAATAGCAAGAATTGCTCTTGGGCGGATTCAATTGAACATAACATCTATAGGGAGGAGACAACACAACAGATGCATACCCAAGTACTGATCTAACTAAGCACATGTATACCTTTTTTACAATGTAAGGACCCTTAAGCTCTATTGGAACACATATTAATGAGACCTAGCCCGGATCTAGCTTTACCAAAAGAGAGATTAATGTGGAAATTAAAACGTAATCTTCGGTCGAACAGACCCCTAAAACCACAGACGAATTTACGTTTTCTTGTGTGAATCGATGAAATACTCAGTATTCACGAATGAATACTCAACACAATGGCTTCCTCCTTGAGAAGGAAAGTTTCTTGTATTTTTTTAGAATTAATTCCATACAATTTAAGGAGCCACATGTAACCAAATTATTTAAAACAATTTGAAGTTGATACGATTTCGAAGAGAAGGAAGAAATCATTTTAACATCGTCAGAGCACATTAACAACTGGCTGGATGTAATCACCTAAGGGAAATCATTAATGTATAATGGCTGCCTTGAGCGACGCTAGACGTCGGTTTACGTGAGGCGATGAAGTTAAACAAAATTTCACTAAGTAGATAGGAGAGCCAGAGACATAGAGTTTGAAGACTAATAAGTTATGGTTAACTAAGTCAAACGCTTTACTAAAATCAGTGTATACGATATCCGTGCGAGAAGAAGCCTTGAAAACTTGGCAAGTAAATTCCAAAAGTTCCGTGACAGAATTCCTTTCCGAAAGACGTGCTGGAATGGAGAAATATATGATTTAATAGCAAAAGGTAATTCTGAGTAACTATTCGCTCAAACAATTTCTATATGACATTCTTGTTGTCGACGTGACATCTATTTCCCTATTTGTGAATTGAAATAAAGAAACTACTCTTCGAACACAAACCTGATTTCAAGGACTGATTAAAAATCATTATAACAGCACTTAGCTCATCAGAGCATGATTTGAATATACATGATGGAATCACAGGCCCATGCGCTAACTATATTTTAGAGACCTCAAACCATGTAAAACGTCATTTTCTGAAATAATCAAGTTAGAAACCGAAACCGAGTTAATTTTCGGATACGGATAGTTAACGGTGAAATTTCGCCTGAAGAATTCAGCAAAGAGATTTGAGGTTTCAATATCATCAGACGATTCAGAGCTATTGCAAGAAACATGCGAGGCATATACGGAAATTTTTCTTTTGGAGTTGACAAACTTAAAAGGTTATTTAGGATTAACGAGCAGTAAGGATTTTATCAACTGAAAGTATCTGCATTAATATAAATGGTTGAGGTAATTAAATCTATGCCTTGCAGCAGAATAGGGGAACTAGTCGTAAACGGAACGTTTCAGGATTATTCGTTTTACCTACGGTTATAATATTTAATTCTCTTGTTAAACCATGGCACGCACTTGCTTCAAGGACGAAATTGCTTGATAAACTTAAAAACGACTTCCAATACATTACTATATAATTCTAAAATAGTATCTTAGTGATAGATAAAATTACGACAGAGAACTTGATTTTATATTTATAATATTCAAGCTGGTGTACCCCAAAGTAGTGTTTTGGGACCGACTTTGTTGTTTGTAATTAGTAACTAATGTCCTTATTAGCACGCTGTCTGGGCTGCCACTGCTAGTGGTTTCTCTTGGCCATGTACACATATGAATTTAAATGCCTTCAATTTCATATTCCTATTTATTAGATGATTACTTTTCCTTTTTAATACTGCAAAACAATATTTTGTAGTGTGATCGCATACTATCGTATGCATCCACTTAAAGTGTGACAGAATTATGCGACTTCAGCATAATCCTTTTGGTAAAATAAAAATAAAATTTATGTCACACTTCACTAGGATGAGTATTGTATATCGTAATGCAATACGATGTCGCATGTAAACAATTATAATTCTGTTTAGATAAGAATAAGTTAGTGAGTGATAAGGATAATTTAGTAACCAATTACAATCCTGTTTAGATAAGAATAATTTAGTGTAAAATTTAAGTATGAAAAGTGCAAAAGAAAATAAAGAAATTCAGTTGTTATCAAACAATTCAACCTAGCGTTTAACTCGCTGGAAATACAAGGCGTTCAGTCCGCCTGAAACATAAAGTTTAGGGACCGTCTTATGCCGAGACTTATTGGCATTATAAAAGACGTAAAGACTTGGCGCACTGAAGCCGAGCACCTTAGGGCTAAACTGCTAAACTACATTCACTAACACTTTGGGAAGGATTCATAGGGAATCTTCCCGTAAACAAATATTTGAACGCTTCATCATTAAACAGCATTACATTCATTACAATATACTAAAGAAAGCTAAAATAAAGTAATGTTTATAAATAGGCAACCTAAAAACTATAACCATCTCGGAAGGCAAAGTTTTTAATGTAATGTAATACTTACGTAAAAGGGCAGTTTCCACCTGATATTGATTTATTCGCAAGCCAATTCACTTTCCTAAATACATTTCAATATAACAACGACCACACGTACCAACCTGGTGCCTGCTTTAGCGATATAAAATTTTAATGTATCTATATTTTTACATGAAAAATAATAAATTAGTGTCCCTATGCATGGACTGTATTTTTTTAGATTTATTGGAGAGTTTATGAGGCATATGGTCTTAATATCGAATCTCGATTATATCCTCTGTTTTCCATTATTTCTGGGAATACTTTTAATCAAGAAGAAAACGTGATAACGTTTTTTGATATTAAGCGTAGTAGCGTATACATAATGAGAAGAATTTCTTACTAGACACACTTTTATCTTTTCCCAGTAAGAAGTAGTAATCAAATTTTAGGTTGTTTAAATTTTTTTTTTTTTTTTTTTTTGCTTTAATATTTAATTGTTTTTATATATATATTATATTTATTAGTGTTATATAATTAGATTTGTTCTCAAGGATTTTTTTGCTTTTTCTTAAATTTGTTCGCATTTTCCTTTTATTTTTCTTTGTTTACGTCGATTATAATTCTTTTGGTGCGCATATAATGTTCTTATTGTTATAATTGTTGCACAGGGCATTATTTATTTCCAAATTTTTCCTTCCATTTTATACTTTTCATTATTTTAATTCATTTCTGATTATTATTATTATTACTGTCATAATTTACTTTTTACAATTTGTTTTTATTATATTTGTTATTATTTTTATACCCACCACTGCAATATGGGGGTACACTCATTTTACTTTTCGCATAATATATGTAACTCTACTAAAGGAAGCTTCTGAGACCCTATAAAAAATATATATTTTTGATCAACGTGAAATTCTGAACTGATTTTGCCGTATCTGTCTGTATGTGTGTTATTTGTTGTTGGTACTTTCCTGATCGCAAAAATGACATCGACTACAAATTTGCTAGAAACGTTTAAAGTTTTCGCAGTTTGATATTGAAAATGAGCCATATTAGTTGAAGCAAAAGCCCGCAGTGGAGTATAAATTGAACGCAACTCCGTTTTTCTTGACAACAATTTGTATGTTATTGTTCGTTACTCAGAAATTATAAAAGTTAGAACACTGAAATTGCTCACATTTACTTTGTGAAACACTCTACTCTTTTCGTGCAAAAATGAAAAACAAATAAGCCACACCCGCACAAAGCTACAAGCGATTACATAATCTTTTTTCACTTTTTTGAAGTTTTATGCTTATTTATCATAACGCAAACAAAGCAATGTGTTTAAAATTCTTTTGTACGGTCCTCAAATGAAGGTATAAAAGATATCTGCCGAAAAATGGGTTAATTCTAAAATGAATATAGTAGACACAGTGATTAATTTTTTGTTAATAATACCAGCGATGTGGATATCAAATAAAAGAACTTGAAGAATAAAATGCAAAAGACATAGTGATGGGTATGGGAGTTTCGGCCTCTGCCGAATATAATCTTATTTGTTATTATTATTTAGCATTATTGTTATTAGTATTTAGCATTATTATTATTTTTGTTATTATAATAATTAATTGCATTATTTTTTATTATTTTATAATAATTATTGTTTACTATTAACTACTATGACATCGCCATCGGTATTATTATTATATCTAAGGGTATTGTAATGAAAAGTAAATTATATTCATTATGAATTTGAATACGATATTAAATAAATAATTTTTATGTTATATAATCTAAGGCTTTTCTAATGTTAAGTTTAAAGCGAATTTAAATCTTATTTTTAATGCTATGCTACTACTTGTCAGCAGAGGTCTTCAAGTGAAAGTGGTCCAACTTAGATATTTTATCTATATATATATATGTAACGCTAACGAAAATGCTTGCAATTTTGTAAACTTAATATAAAATACATCAAATTAAATTATATATTAAAAAGAGTTAGCACTATTACTGAATTGTTTTAATCCCAAAAATATGTCATAAAAAGACATTATTATCGTTTCTGATTTTGCCCAGACTCCTGCCCTGAGGCTGTATTAACGCAATTATCAATTAGCTGGAGACCTGTGTGTCACTTTGGAGACCTGTGTGTCACTTTGGAGACCTCTGCCTTACATCTTTCGAGACTTTAAATATTGTATATGAAATCTCATTTTAATTATCTTAATAAACAATACTCTTAACTAATCAGTACTTAAATTCTTTATGTTCTTAAGAAAGTAAATGTACACATACGCATTTACAATTCTTGAATGGAAAGATTAAGCAATATTAAGCAATAAATGTATCTTAATGCTATGTTTATGAAAATTGACATTTTGCTTGTGTACGTATTGTGTATATTTATATGTATATATATATATGTGCTTTCTTTTTTCATGCCAAGATTCCTAAAGATGAAAACTACTTACTGACATTAGAAAACTGTAAGTAATAAACGTGAAATGGAAAGGAATCGTTTCTTCTTCTTAATGCATAGAGAAAACGTTTTTGAGTTTGGTTTTTATACAAACTACATGCACTTGTAATTTTTCCTTATATATCTAATATGTAATGTATATATACATATATATGATATATATACATATATATGATATATATACATATATATAATATATATATACATATATATAATATATATATACATATATAACACATGTATATAATATGTATATATAATAACTTATTTATACATAATTTATATTTACATATTTTTCTGCTACATTTTTTGTGTGGCCAATTGAATGTGTTTAGCGGAGGTTTACTCTTAATAACCTCTCTCAACGTTGATGTGGAAGCGTTAACAATGAAAAGAGAATATCGTCTTTGGGTCAATCAAATTGGCCGTTTGCCAAAATTTAAAAAAAAACGTTTGGGACATCTGGATTTATGCAATATAATATTCACTATAACTTTTTTAAACCATTAATATAACTAACAATTTATTTAATTGCTTGTAATCAAATTTTCCATTTCTTCTTATACACAGAATTGTCACAAAACACTTTTTTCTACTATTTGTGGACCTAATTAATACTGCAAGCACGTTTCTCGTAAGAATTGGAACGAGCACGTACAAGGAATTGATGAAAACAGATCAACACGTTTACAGATCATCAACAAAATTATTGAATTTCAGTAACAGTTTTCAGCAAGCATCAACGACTCTGTTTCTCCATTTCCTCTACATTTCTCAAAAATGTTTAACATATGAAGTGTCAGTTAATCCAGATATGTAATATGTCAGATGCTTACTTCTTTGTATTTTGCCATGTTAATGACAGAAATATTATGCCCATATCCCGTAAGAAACCTTTTTATAATCAAGTTTTCGGGAAAAACTTTTTGAGTTTAAGATTGCTTATTTTTAAACTGGGTAAGTTCAAGACGATTAAATCGCAGGGGAACTATCTTCATAAAAATGCTATGGCACGAAAACTACATAGAATCTTTTTCACAATTTATGTTCAATGTTATAATCACATACATTCCTACTAAAAGCAAAAAGAAACATTATACAAAGCCAAGGGCGGCCATCAAATATAATACACCACTTTTATTCTGTTCTCATGTAATATGGGAAAGATCTTATTGTCATGTGAAGGCTGACTTTTCATAAGACGTTTTATGTGGAATAGCCTCCGCAATAAAAATCATTTTGTCAAAATACTGGTCTATATTCATAAAATACTAAAGATTAGAACTTGTTGTCATATAAAAGCTGATTTCTTTCTGGGACATTTATATGGGAGAGGGCTGATGAACGGGCCCGCCACATTAAAATTTTTCACATTTCATGTCAAAATAATATTTCTCACGGCTTTTTGACTAGAAATAGTAAAAACCGAAATTTTTGTTTTATTTGTTTAACAACTTTTGCAAAATAGAGGGCGATATAAGCCGGCGTGGCAAAAATGATACGATCCAAACTATTTTCAGTAACATCAACAAAGGAGTGCTTATTAGAAGCCTGTATTTATATTCTAGTTCAACGCTAAACGTTGAAATTCTTACGGAAACAAATTTGTGATTATTAGTTAAAACTCGTCACTTCGATTCTTCCATTTTTGTATTTTATAGGTCGCGATTTAAAATAAAAATAACGCGCTAAAATTTTATATGTTTATTAAAACGGAACTCAAGATATGATTATGATTATTCATAATGGAGAGCAGATATCAATCTAAAAACCATGTAACCACCGTCATCTAAAATTTTGATACAAATATTGTTTGCGTTATGAAGTTTCCGGATAAATGCAAGAAAATTTTAAGATGCCCAAAAGCTTTGAAATCGCCATGTATAATAGATGTTACGTGAAGAAGAATGTTTCCAGAATCTAATATAAACGCTCTGCGTTTATATAAATCAGTGAGATGAACAAAAATCACAGACAATAATTTTTTCGGACAGAAGCAAATTGTGCGTTTGAAGCTAAAATAACAACTAGCGAGCACCGGGTAAAGTAAAATAAACGAAAATAATACCGGCTGGACAATAACAATACTGAGGAAAACAACAAAAATTTGACAATGTATGTGAAGTGTTCGACAGCAACCGCTCGACATGAATCCAATTGTTTTGAATACATTTCGGAGCTCGATATTTAATCTCCTGACGTTTACAAGAATAAACGAAGCAGGTCACATCTCGCCAACAAAACGAGCTTTTCTTCAATCACATTATATTTTCACTATATTTTTTAGATTGTCTTTTCATGTTTTCACTATTTTATTTTTTTTTTTTCATCATTTTCACTATATTTATTAATATGAATTGATTTTGTAGAACTAGAAAATCATGCTGCTCGCGTTGCTTTCTTTAAAGAAAATTACAAAGTTTTTACAAAGAGACTTCAAAAACTTTTATACGTTGAGAGGCAGTTATAAAGTATAATAAAGAGTATCCTATTCATCAATAAACGAAGTTGTTTGTGATTTCCATCAGTTTTTTTAATTATTCAATGTACACATTTTATATAGCATACTCATGTCATTGTTTGCCTTGGAAGAAATACAAAAGAATATAACAATGAAAGAATATCATGATTTACTTTTTAAAATTATTTCAAAACTAAAATTTGCAAATCGTTTCTTTCGATAAAAAAAAATTTATGGTTTCAAACATGCTAACATTTATTCATTTAAAATATGTATGTTTCCATAGTTATCCGTGCCAGTAAACCATTTTGCTTCTAGATTTATGTTATAAATTTAAATACCTTATTTGCTGACTTGGTCATTATTTTGTGATGAAGCATTCTTTATGCCAATACACTCAGAGTTATTGATATTATCTAAAGGTCGAAACCTGACGAAACCATGCTCTGCTACCAACATGCTCGAGCTATGCGCGCTATCAGAAAGGTATGATATAGGAGTTGTGCCAGAATTCATCCTAGATAGATAGCCGAAGTGCTCATTAACAGCGCATGCATGACGAGAAGGTTCAAACGAGCTTAGATGTTGCTTATTACGAGTTAAACCAAATATATTTATCGGTGATGATGGTAATGATGTAGGGTGGTTAGAGGAAGAGAAATATATTGGTGCTAAGGCAAGTTTTTTGGCAGTAGGCATCATTCCGCTTAAATTAGTCTGATGCGGAAGAAATTGGAAATCGGTTAGATTACCTAATATCTTTGGAACCTCATCCGGATTCAGCGTTGATTTGATGATATTGCTGCTTGTAATACAAGAACCATCTTCATTATTAATTAAATTTGTGCACTCTATATTACTACCTGCTAACATCATGTCATTTTCGTCTTCATCCGAGTAATGTTGAAGCTGCTGTTTTTGAACAAAGCCGTTAACCATTGAGTTTTGTGACGTTTTCATGCTCGCCCTTTCGAAAGGTCGTCCAAATATGTCGGCCACGTGGGTAGCATTTGGTGTCCTTTGATTTACGTTATTAGTAGTTGCTCGCGGTGGACCTTTCGAACTGTGTGACTGGAAATTGTGGTGATTATGCCTTTCTCCAGTAGTTAATGTCTGTACTCCGGAGGAAGCTCGCGGTCCACAAGATGTAGATGATGCCGCCGATGATGAAGAAGCATTACGTCCATGTATTGCATTAGTTGTGTTACCTGCAATGTTATTAAAAGTTTCACTTTTGCGTACTCCGTTGCACGAAGAACCCCGTTCAAATGAATTATAAGTTGGATAACGCTGATCATGGCCTGGGTTGGATTTACATGAATATGCGGAATTCTCGCTTCGCCTCTCTGGTTTATCATATCCGCATCGATCTAATGTATTAAAGGATTTTTTTTGTTCTCTTTTATTATTGAACATTGTTTGAATACGCGAATCTGACCAGTTCTCATGTGAAGGTTTCTGTGTAGTCCCATGAAATTTCGGTCTTTCGAAATTATTGAACTCATAATTTTGTTGGCATGGCTCCGAATAGCAAGCGTCACTTTGTAAAAGTAACATTTGTTGTTGCGAAACGGCCGATGCTGCAGAAGCGGAATGGGAACCGCAATTGGACTCGTTGCTACTTAAGGCTGTAGTGGACGTAGTAGAAGTTTTACCAAATTTTTTATTAACACTGCCACCACTGTTGGTATTGTTTAGCAAACCATTAGCAGATGCTGCCGACTCTGAGTTAATTAAATCAAAATTTGGGTTTTCATAGTGATCAGTTGCGTTATCAGTCAAATAATCACTATAATGTGGTTGTTCATGGTGAAAGCGAGAACCACATTCCGAATTATTGTGATGGACTGAACTATGCATTGAACCATCTTCATAAGAATGTTGATACACAGTCTGTTGTAATTGGTTTTCAGCACTGTGCTGCACATCTGTGATTGGTACACTATTGGTGTTACCCAAGGAGTTCAACGCAAAGCTATCGTCATATATTAACTTCCCTGTTCGCATAGTATAAGTATGCAAATTGGTGTTGGCATTGCACACAACGGGATAATCTGTTTCAAAGTGTTCTTGGCTCGAACTTGAAGTACAAGGCAGAAAAAATCCGGCTACATTTGAATGATTAAGATGTGGATGTGTTCCTTGTTTTTCTCGCGTAGATGAAAGGCCTTGAGTGGAGCCGAAAATATTATTGCCACCGCTTTGGCCAGCTATAGTCAATTGCGTTTCTCCATTTGTTAACCCGATATTTACCCCGCCACCACCACCACTATTTTTTAAACCAGTAACCCACGATATTAGGGTTATGATAGCTATTTCAATTAAACGCAACGAAAACTGATACCCCCATTGCAGCCAATCGATTTCGGAATTTGCTTGCGTTATAAGTGGACGGGTTGTAGATATACTAATGGCTCCAAATATTTGTAAAGTAGCCAATAACACAAACAAAAGAGCTGTCGCTATTGTAATGTGAATAGCATAAGAAAGATTCTGGTATCCATGAATATAGTTTTGCGATTTACTTCTCAGTATACGTTTTAGAACTCGGTATAAATATAAATAGAGTAATCCCAAGCTAAAACACACAAATATATAGATTATTTGACAAATTAATGAAAGAACGCGGGGGGGCGGAGGAGTTGCCGACATGCTGGTTGCTATATTCGTTTGCTGCGAAAACCCCATCGATTGGCCTGTTACTGCGACGGAACCAATCAAATTTCCAGCTGCACCATGTTTTTGTTGATTTAAGGACGAATATTGGAAAGGATTATATTGGGCGTTTTGGAAATGTTGATGTTGCATTTGTATTTGTTGACGTCTTAAGGCTTGCTGTTGTTGTTGGTAAATACTGTGTTGTTGATGGTTTTGCACCGTATAGAACTCTACGTAATGAAGTGTAATGCAGAGTATGACATGCACACCACAACCTACTACTACTGTGAGAGGTCGTAGTAAAGCTGAGTATCGATTGTTTTTATAATTCAGTGATTTCAAGGACAAAAACAGTATTAAAACAGAAAAAGATATTGTAAGAAAAGTAGACGGTAAATTTAATAGAATTTCCGATAAGAATATATGAAAACTGGAATGAATATTATACGCATCATAGCATAAAAAGAAAATGCGTGCCGTACAGATAAATATAAGCACAAGATGAATACAAATAAAATATGATTGGGAAAAAAGATGAGTAAGTTTGTTGTAAGTAACCATTTTGTATAAAGAATAGACGGTAAGTATAGTAAAAAGAACCACTGAGAAATATACGTGTATGTTCCATGCTATATTCCAAGTATTGTGTCCTATTGCAGCGGCTAACGTAGATGAAGATGAACTACTTCCTTGGTTATGACTTCTACCTGCCGTATCGGGAAACGAAAAATCGGTGTCAGTGAAAGTTGTTGATATAGCAGGTGAAGGCACAGCAGATGCAATGGCCACATCCCCTTCAATAGCTGCAGCCGCCGAAGGTGTTGAACTAACACTGTTAGAAGCTGCCAATATAGTATCACTAGGTGCTGACTTGGACAAGATTCTAGTTTTTTGGTGATCGGAATTATATTCCTCGTTATTGTTATAAAATTCACCATCATTCAGTGTTTTCATATTTATGCTTATATTTATGTTTGAATTGGATAACGACGTATCACTGTACGCATGTGTTTCATTGCCATTCTGAGTACCGAGGGTGCTATCTATTAAAACCGTAGGAGATGACGATGATTGATGGTTAGGACGAGATGTCACATGCTTAAGCAAAACTTCCGGAATCTCTCCTTTACGCCCGTTGGAACCGCTGAGAATACGTCTGATACTCGGTAAAACTTCTTTCCTAGTGTCGTGATGAACCGTGTAAGGATTGCTTATTCCTCCATTATATGAATTTATGACTCCTTCTAGGTTCCCTGCTTTATCATCAGTTATACCCTCGGATTGTAATGAATAATTTCCTTTTGAAGGGGTATTTAAAGCTTTTTTACGTTCAGTATCGAGTGTATTGGCAACTGTAGTAAAATAAGTGAAAGACGATACGGTGCTGCTGCCAGCAAAAGTAGCAGATGATGGTGGCGCAGCTCCTGGCCCACTATCGCTATTTAAAATTGTTAAGTCAGGCGGACGGAAAGGTATTCGTTCATGACCCGGCATTAAGCTCGGTGGTGGTATTGGACGTCGATTAATGAAAGCGCCTGCGTTCAAAATTATAGCTCCTTCATTGCTTGTACCTCGTAATGTAGGCTTGTCAGCAAATGGATGTTGATATTCGGGAGGCAAAGGAGGCGTAAAAAAGGAACGAGCTGGTGGAGAATATGAGGGTAAATCGCCAGAAAACATGGGTATAGTTGGAGATTGCCCATTGGTTCTTTTTAAAACATTGGGTACTGAAAGCACAATAATTTGACTATAATTCATTGATTACCAATAATAGATTTAAAATTATTCTTACGTGAGGGAACAGATGTAGAGTTCAATAAATGTGGATGCTTTTCTCGATCATGATTATGATGTCGATTAGGATTGGGATATGTAGGGTTATTATTGCTTTTAAGGATGTCAGCGTTGGGGGCTGACGTGGGCAATGCATGATCTCTTTCCAAATCCAATTCATAGTTGCGGTGGTGCAAGTTTAATTGCGATTGTTGTAGCGTCTTTTCTGGATATCTAAAAAACAAAAAGTCGAATTTTTGCATGCATATTATAACAAACAATCAAAAATGGTGTAATTGACAAAGCGAACAGCAATTCTTAATGTTTCGTGATCAATATCACAGAAATATTGTATAATGGAAAACGCACGAATTTAATGACAGAGATCGTTTAATTTTTTCTCGATCTCCTGCTTTTTCTAATAAACCAAAAATCTTAAAATGTAAGGGAAATTCATATTAACTTAAAAGCTAATCTTTACTTTCATCAAATTTCCTATTAAAACTTTATTGTAGGGCCGGTTTTAACTACTAAAACATACAAAAATTGTTTGTTACCTATTTGCGGAGACTAAAGTGATAACATAACCTATGATTTAATGAATATTTCTTATTTCGATCGATCAATTCATACTTATTAAGAAAATTAATAAACCTGTGTTACTCTTTTGAATTACTTTAAAATGAAAAAAATTTTTGATTGAACACCAACACTTAAAATTCTCGTAGAATTCATTCGTATTGACGGTCAATTTGTAGATAGCTTTTTCTACATCTAAATGCAATCTGCAAAATTTGTGCAAACAAAATATCAGATGATTCTGCTTCATATTGATAGACATCATATTTTGTCAAACTAACTAAAGAAAAAGAAATTACTGCATTTTTTAAAGAAGTGAAAACATTATAGTCTATGGCCTGGCCGACTATCATCCCCATATTGTCCAACACAATTTTTATTTTTGCTATAGCACGCGGAATTTATATCCTGTTTTTATATGAATTTGCTATTGTGGAACTGTATATTTAAAATTAGAACTGTTTGCAAATATAAGCTTACTTCCCGTAAGAATGGTTATGTGTGTGTGTTCAAAATTCACCGTAGATAATTTTTGGATCAAGCTACTATTATGGATCAATTTTCATTACAAAATATTAAAACTAATACTTTTCCCCTGCCCTAAAAAACAAAAATTTTTGTACAAATCCTTATATAGGGTAGGATCTAAAGGTAGATATATGTCGTCCAAATTTTATGGAGTTAATTTTTATATAAAATTACTGTTATGGATCAACTTTCATCATAATATATGAAATGTTCATTTTTTCTGCCTTAAAAAAAAAATTATAGGGTAGGACCGAAAGATAAGCGTGGGTGGTCCAAATCTGGTACAGTGAATTTTGTTAACTTAACTAACTTAACTACAAACGATCAATTTTCGTGGAAGTGTTTTAGTTTGGGGAAAAAGAAATCCATTATTTTTTCGGTAGATGGCTGCACTGATAGATTTCTTGTAAAGTATCGATCAAACAATTTCAGATTTATGCTCGTTGGAAAGGTGACATTTCGCAGTAAAAATAATTCTTTTGCTGTTTTTTGTTTGGTGCATTCAGTTGTGAGTTACAGCGTGTTAAAAATGGAAGTGAACAAAGAGAAAATTCGGTACATTTTACAGTTTTTCTTTGACAAAGGCGAAAATGCAAGCCAGGCGGCTAAAATTGTGAATGGTGTTAATGGTTCCGATACTGTAACAGCCAATTATGTGCAATTTTGGTTTCGTAGATTCCGTTCAGGAATTTTTGATGTTAAAGATGCACCTCGCACAGGTAGGCCGGTCGTCGAAAATGTCGATAAAATCGGAGAAATGACCGAAGTTGACCGGCATGTTAGCAGTCGTAACATCGCCCAGGAGCTAAAAATCGACCATAAAACAGTTTTAAACCATTTACACAAAGCTGGATTCAAAAAGAAGCTCGATGTTTGGGTGCCACACCAATTAACAGAAAAAAACATGATGGATCGAATTTCCTTCTGCGAAGCATTGGCCAAACGGAATGAGATAGACCCATTTCTTAAACGGATGGTGACTGGAGATGAGAAATGGATCACATACGATAACCCTGTGCGAAAACGATCGTGGTCAAAGAGCGGTGAAGCACCTCAAACGGCCAGGAAGATTCTGCTATGCATTTGGTGGGACTGGAAGGGGATTATTTATTATGAGTTGCTTCCATATGGCCCAACCCCAAATTCTGATCTCTACTGTCAACAACTGGACCGTTTGAAGATAGCAATTGACCAGAAACGGCCAGAATTGGCCAACAGGAGAGGTGTCGTGTTCCACCAGGACAACGCTAGGCCACACACATCTACAGTGACTCGCCAGAAACTTCGGGAGCTTGGTTGGGAAGTTTTAATGCATCCGCCATACAGTCCGGACTTGGCACCAAACGATTATCATCTTTTTCTTGCATTGCAAAATTTCTTTAATGATAAAAAATTGGAATCTAGGGAGGATTGTGAAAATCGACTACTAGAGTTTTTTGCAAATAGAGACCAGGACTTCTATGAGAGAGGCATTTGGAAGTTACCTTTAAAATGGCAACAAATCATACAACAAAACGGTGCATATTTGACCCAAATCGGACAATCCGAAGCATGTTAAATAAAGTCCTGAAGTTCATATAAAAATAATGGATTTCTTTTTTCCCAAACTAATATATATAGGGTAGGACCCACAAAATATGCCTAGATTGTTGAGATCTGGTCCTTTTATTATACAAACTTAAGTTTTCGTTATATGAGAGGAGATTCAATAAATTGCCCCAGCCCGCCTATAGTGTTCGCACCAGTACTTTGTTGTCGAGAAATTTTCAAAATTGCAATTTTTTTCATGTAACGACTTTTTAAATAGGGCGTAGTATGGAAAATAGTTGAAAAAGTGGACCAAAACGAAACATTTCCAAGCGCGAAACGCGATATGTAGCTTGATCACAAATTCAGAATCATTGTCTGAATCGATCGGTGTAATAAAAGCTGGGTCCTTCTTAAGCCCTTGTGCACCCGCAGAAACGTAACATGCCGTGTACGACAAATGATATAGTGATAAAGTAAGAATTTTGTGAAAAATTAAATGACAAAAGAAACCAAAATAAACAAACAAAAAGATTCCGTAATTAAAATAAGAAAAACTAAAAATCGTAGTTTTCTTAACAAAGACATTATAAACTAGGTATTTCTGTAATACAAAATAGCCGCTATTCAGGAAACAAATACCTTCAGTTCACCAGTGGATATGAGGCACTTGTATGTCAATATTTATACAAACTTCACGTTGTTTGCCGCAATGCAAAATTTAGTCGATTTTGCAGTAATTATCGTTTCAAGTTCATTATTATTTGTCTTGGAATTACATTCCTACAGTCATAATTACATTGCATTGATTCAACGACTATGATAACAGGATTACTTAAAACCTCTATAACCTTGATATTGCTATAATGGCCGTTATTGTTTGCGGAGCATAATGAATTTCTACGTCTGGATAGTATATTGGCGTGTTAGCAATGGCTGCCTTTGTTCTATTTGATGCTCAAACTGTTATGGAAAAAGTAGCGCCCACAGTAAGGATGTTGTTGAATGTCCAGTAAACCTTCTTTTTTACGTTTTCGCTGCATTTTAATTTTATTGTATGTAAATTAATGTTTTTATTATGGATTTATAAATTTCAAAATACGTGCTTAGCGCTGGTTGTAGCTACTATAGGACAGACATCAAACATGAAACTGACGAGTAGTTGGGCAATATCGGATGCCAGCTGATCTGGGCCAGGACAAAAATCGAATAATACTACCCTCTAACGTTGCAGTTTTTTCACAGAGTCTTACGACATTGAATCGCTCCTTTTCTAGCTTGTTTTAAAATTGCGATCAGATGTAATACTGACGTACGTCATGTGTTACATTCAAATGATAAAGAACAAGAAGAGAACACCCATCAGACTAAAGCAGAAATTTTACATTTTTAATTCCTAAAATCTAACCTATCAACATTTCCAGATACTCCGCGGTTTCTACCGAAACTTATTTTACGCGTTGCACGAATGGGAAAGTTGACATCTGCAATTGCTTTCCGTGCACTACAATATACTCGTGATCAGCATCAAATTTCTGTGTATCCATTTTTGTTATGTCGGCGGCAAAAACTCTCCTGGTTGGAAAAATGAACGTATCATCCTCAAATTGAGCGACGACATTGAAAGTTGTCGCCTGCAGGTTGGTATTGAAGATACACCAAATCACTCAATACGCTGTCATACAACGTAGAGTTAAATCATCTCTGTTCTCAACACCAAAAAAAAAAATTTTTTTATGCTCATTATTAAGCTGTTAATACAGATTAGCTAATATTTCCTTTGTATAATGGAACTGCTGTATTATTAACAAAAAAGTAAGTTCTAAAAGGCTGAAACGAGTAAAAGAATCCATTAAAAATATTCATAGATCGTCTGTAGCAAGATACTGGAATACTAATAATCGAACATTGAACAAGTAGCAACGAATACATTTTTGATTCTTAATCTTGCTGACTGCTGCGGAGCCTGAAGTGCAAAAAACAAATTTTAAGAATTCAAGAATAAGTACGCTTTTTTCGGTAAAAGTTTAGATTTGTAGGATTGGGCATAAAAGCATAACTGTAATTATATGTACGTTAGTTGGTTAAGTTCGTTAAATGTTTCTATACGTTGTAAAAATTAGAAAATGTAGCTGCAGTGCACAATTGCAACGTACTTGAAATGGTCATATGTACATGCAGTGATGGCAACCATGGTACAAATTATGAATGGGCATGTCACAAAATATTTTCAAATAAAGAAAAACAGACGTTTAGTATTTCAACAAACTGCAGACACATTCTTCTCACATTTCAGATTAACTTTTTTAAAGAATAATGTGAAAATGGACATTTCGCAGGTCTGTTTTAAAGTCAGCGTAATAACATTAAGACTTCTGCAGTGAAACAAATAATATTCAGACAGAGCAAGCTCCGTGCTGTAAAGCGATACATTAAAAATTCACCGGCGAATTCCCTCAATATTTAATGGATTATTTAATGGAGCCTCATAATGCTTCTTTTCCCCCCTTTTCTGACACACACACACACACAGCGCAGCGTCCTCCCTGGACTTGAAGTAGTTTGTTCACTTTTCATTGAGGATGATATCCTACAAATGA